ATTGTTCCATCTTTTCCAGGGTTAAAACACTTCTAAATTGGACTTATCAATAAAAATCCCAATAAATACATATGTTTTAGTTAAAAATAAATCACAATAACATTTTTTCATTTACACAACTAATAAATTATTGATAAAAAATGACTCATATGCTATGTTAATTAAAACTTCAAAGAAGGTAAACATAATTATGTCAAATGTGTAGTACTTATTTTTTTTTTTTTTGGCAAACTTTCAGGAAGATGAGTGTAATTTACCCTAACTTTAAAGTAAACTATTTTTAAGAAAATTAAAACCCCTTTTATAATAATAATAATAATAATAATAATAATAATAATAATAATAATAATTAATAATTATTATTATTCTAAGGAGAGTTATTATTAATATTAAAAAATATATAAAAAGTGTATTAAAATGTATAAAATATATATTTAAAAATGTATAGAAATTAAAAATATTAAAAACAATCTCATCCCATGTAACACAGGCATCAATCAAAGTCCAGTGGTAACCGAAAGAAACATCTCACTCTTGAATGCTACATTGTAAGGTTGGGTCTTACGAGGATGTGGTCCTGTTCTATTCTTGACACAAGAAACAGGGAACCCAAAAGAAAATGTGTGCACATCGATATGAGAAAGAAGCATGCGTTCCATCAGTAAAACAAAGAAAGCAGAAAATTATAAGTGCCTGTAAGAGTGGATCTAGAAGCTCAAGGCCTCACAAATTGCATTATAAAGTCAAAAAAGGACAGCCAAAAAGAATTCTTATGCTACACCAATCTAGCCATGATACACAACTAGGATATTAAAATGGGTAAATTACATGTACCTCCCTCCAGATTTAACTAAATTACAGATACTCTCTTGAGATTTTAAAAATTACATCCCGCCCCTTAAAGTTTGTATTTTCATAACAATTTACCTCTTGAGATTTATATTTCATAACAAATTACCCCCTAATTTGTTATGCAAATATAGCATTCAAGAGAGAATTTGTAATTTCTCAAACCTCAGGAAATATCTGTAATTTAACCAAACCTCAAGGGAGTATATGTAATTTGCCCTAAAATATACTAGCAGCTCTAAACAATGCATTTCTATTACATTGATTCTCTGATTTTTTATTTTTAGCAATTTCATCTTTATAGTTTTCAATTTGAGCAACTCCAAAATAAAAAATAGGCCTAAAACAATGACAACAAACATCCTATAATAAAACATGTTAATAACTATTAAATTGAGTGACGGAATTTTCATAAAAAAAATGAACTATAATATCAAGGAAAATGATATACAAATCTATTTTTTAGACTCATTTTATAGACATAATGTTGTGCTAAAAAGATAATTGGTTGATAAAGTGGGTCTAATTTTTGAACTTAAATAGTAATGCTTTAATATCAAATATCTTTTAGGACAAGAAAAAGCAATGAGGGAGAAGAAATGACAAAGGTTACAAGGGTACAAGGTCGGAAAATATTTGGATTGATGAACAGCTCCAGGTACTATTTATTAAAATTTTCTTCAAGCTAGAATATATTCCACCCCATAGTTTACAAGATAAATCATCAAAAGCAGCATGCTTAACTTGCTGGTGTCCCTGTAATGAAATAATTCAAGCTACTTATGATTATTATTATAAAAATAATTGCTACGCATTAGGCGCATACTTGCAAAACAAAATCCACCTCTTTCAAGTTTTATGCTATCTACAAGTTCCAAACAATGTGCTACACAGGCCAGTGTTGAATAGAATCACAAGAAACATCATTAAACATAGCTTTTTAACAACATACCATCATTAAGTATCATGTCTAGAAACTCAATCAACTGTTTGAAATCAAGATGTGATTATGCATAACAACAAACATAACATTATAATTCATCATTTTCAACTAGAAAAAAAAAGAGGTGAAAAAGTACATTTTAATTTCAAACCACCCTAAAAAGTTCCCATGTAAGTCAAGTTCTCAATGCTACTACACTGCAGCAATCGTTCTTTTGTATCAACTGTCAAGAAAATAGACCATATCTACGAGTCAAAAAACATCAAAACTATTATTATGCACATCAGGACAGGTTAGTGAAAAGAACAGTTCTAACTATTTTTTCACTTGCCAATGCCAAGTGCCACTGCCAAGTAATAGAATACATATGGAGCAATGATCCATATCAAAAAACGAAAAACCATGGACATTTGAATATTTAACGCTGGTTTGGTTGGAGATTTGAGAAGGATTTGAAAAAAGAAACGAAAAAAAAAAGAAATGTGAATAAAATCCACTTATATTTCATCTAGTTTCACACACTTTTTTCCTTTCTCTTTCCAAATATCTTCCTAAATCTCCCCACCAAACACGGCGTAAATGAAATATAATCTAACAAGTTAAAATCATGAAAAATAATTTTAATAGCAATGTACACATTTGTCAACAAAGTACACCATGATAAAACTTAATAAAGGAAAGAATCTTTAAGGATTCAATTTCTAACAGTAAAAAAGGGCTTCAATTACAAGAAAATGAAATAAGAAAAACTATAACATTTCCACTGTAAACAAAGGATGACTCATCTACGAGGAGAAAAAAAGGAAAAAGAAAAAGAAAACAAATGTTACAAGAAGGAATGAAAGGTTGGTACCGGTATCACCACCATTGATGAACAAGAACTCCACTTTTCCTGAGAGAAGTAAACAGCTCCAAGCATTGGCCGTAAGTTTTTTGATACTTGGACGATCTCTCACCCGGGCAGCATTTCTGCCACCTGTTATAATGGCATTCAAGAAAGATTTCATCGATCAAACAAATCGCTCCCGACTCAAACAACCTGGGTATCAATTCAAATTCAGTCCCTTCCACATCCATCTTCATCACCACATAATCCTTCTCCGATACCGTGTTCTTCAACCAATTCGTAAAGTCAAATCCCTGAATCTTATCCACATCACTAGCAACACTAGCTGATGACTGAACGGGTTTAATCCTACCCATTCCTCTCCCTTTCTCTTTCTCCTCTTTTTCCCGACCCGGGTCCTGATTAACCTCAAAAAACAATGTCTCATTCCTCACCCACGCCGCATAAGGCATCAATGTAACCCCTTTCTTGTATCTATACTCTTCATGAAAAGCTTTATCCGCCTCAATCGCGTAAATGTCAAAGGTCTTATTTTGTTTTGGGTATTGCTTCTTGAACCAACTCACAATGCTCGAGCCATAGCTCCGAGCTCCGACATCTACGTATACATATCTTCGCTTAAAATTAATATCAGCCATTGATGGAAGATACTTTATATTCTTTATATTTCTCTTCAAAGTAATCCATGGTTTTAGAGGCTCTTCGGTAATCAACGGCTCAGCATTCCGAACCAATTCTTGTTTATACCCCGGAACAGAGCACTTATTCACTGAATTGCCAGTGGGTTTAAGAATATAACTCTCTTTTCTCATAACAATTTCACGAATTTGCGGCATCGAGGAATCGAATCCATCGATTTCACGAGAGCGTATGAATTTACAGCAATTGAACAAATCAATAAACGAATTGAAACTATACGTATCTTTTGAAGCCGTGTGGACGATCAAAAACCCTTGGGGTTTAAGCGTCCTGGCAACTTCAGAGGCAAATTCTGATTGTTTTACCGACTTATGGAGGCCCTTGATTCCGGAGAAGATGAAGTCAAAAGTGTTCTCATCGAACGGCCAACCTGAAACCACCAACGGCTTCGATGCTTTCTTGGAAATTCCGATCGAGTCCGAAACGCCCATCTCTTTTAAAGCAAAAACCTCTTCTCCATTGGGAGTTTCCAAGCAGAGCGACTTCGAATCGGGAGATAGAAAACCCTCGGCGATTAAATCGTGAAACACAGAGGAATAGAACTGTACGGTGTTTCTCCATTCTTTGGTGGTCCAGAGATCGCGACTGTTGGTTTTGGCCGGAGATGATCGGACGGCGTCATGGACGATGATCGCCGAGGAAGATGACGGGAGCTGAGAAATGCCGGTGACGATGTTGAGATTTTCAGGGAGAGAAAAGAAGCAGAAGTCGCCGAGATTGCAGGCTTCGCCTGTGATGGTGACGACGTAGGCGAATCGAACTCCGACGATGAAAACACAGAAGAAGAAGACTCGAACCAGAATGTTCCTCAGTAAGCTAGGCTTAGGTTCCATAATTGTGTGTATCTGTATATATATATTCCTACATCTATCAGTTTGTGTATGTATGTGTGAAGAATTGAAGAGATTTAGAAGAAAAAAGATAGAAAGGTGAATGTAGAGAGAGAAAGAGAGGAGAGAGATTAGCGAGAGCAGAAGCGGGCGGAGGTGTGGTTAGCGCCGACGAGGGTACGGTGGAGAGGGTGAGGGTGAGGGTGAGGGTAGGGGAGTTGAAAATTGAGAGGATAGTGAGGGGTAAAACGGGAATACATGGTTGGAGATTGGTTGAATCACAGTATTCTAGTGTTGTTTCTCTTTCTCTCTCCCATGGATTTGCTGGCTTTGGTGGGTTTCTAGGGTTAGGAAAAAATGGAGAGAAGTGAGAGAGGGAGGAGAGAGAATATGTATATCTATCTATATGGGGGTGGTGGAGCGCTAGAACATGATACGGCAAGGTGACCGGATTAGACGGTGACCACGCGGACACGGAACGAAAACAAGTGCACGCATTTCTTTTACCGGCTTGTTTTTTTTTTTTTTAGTGTTTTTTTTTAAATTATATTATTTTTGTAAATTTTTTTTTCATATTTAAAAAAATTTAAAAGTCAAGAAAAAACTATTTGGAGTGTTTTTAATTTTTTTTTCATCTCATTGAACTAAATTTAAAGTCTAATACTTTTTAAAAAATTTAGAAAAACAAAAATAAATAAAAATTTTAAAAAATTATCAAAGAAGTAAATTTTGAACATTAAAAACTCACATAGGAGACTTTTAAATATACATTTAATGATGTGGCCAAAGACTAGAATCTCACATAATATGACTAATTAAAATTGACATTTATAATTTTATATTGTTAAATAAATTATAAAATTTTATTAAACATCTCAAACATTTTTTTCGGAAATTATGGGGGTAAAAAGAGAGGAGGATATGGCAACGTGACCGGATTAGACGGTGCCAACAAGGCGGCCACGGAATGAAAACGAAGTGCACTGTGGGGTTACGTGATTGTCACTTGATTTTGGGGAAAATATCGAGATTGCCATTGGGTGGGGGTGATTTTTGCGTGACTTTCTTAAAATGGAGAATGGGGACAATGGTGGTCTGAGAAAGTGGGCGGTGGACTTAGGGTTTGTTTGGCAAGGGTTTATTGGGTTTTTTTAGCTCAATGAGTCATAAAAGGTTCATGATCCACAACAGATAAAATATCCCATCTAATTCCATAATCATTACACTCTTCTCTCACAAAAAAATCAAAAAAGTCAAAAAGCTAAAAACCCTTCCTAAATTAAGCTTTTGAGATAGTTAAAAAAGTCAAAAAGTCAAAAAGTCAACCCACTTCCCAAACGAAGGCTTAGATGGTTTGGAGTGTCCTAAAAAAGTGTACTTTTTATCTTTTTATAAAAAAATATATAAAAAAATAAAGAAATGATGTGATAAAAAGATATAAAAAGATAAGAAGATAAATTATATAAGTTATGCTAAAGCAGGCCTGAGACTATGTGAATATTGATTGAGGTGGTGGGGTTGTCCCAGTTTTGGGTTGGCTTGGATTAGGTGGTTCTCAAATACTGTTTACGTGACCCAACTTACAATTTGTACCATCTAAATGTGTATATATCCTCTACCCTTTTTATCTCAAAATAATAATCTCTTTTAAAAAATTAAAAATTTTTTAATAGTACAATTATTATATTTTAAAGATATTAATGTTTTAAGGCCATATTTGATTCACAATACTAATAGTGAGGTATTAATAATCCTATCAAATTAGTGTGGTATTAACTATCCCACCCCTACCCCATTACTAATAATCCTACAAATTTGTTAGATTAATTATCCATTGGATTAATAGTCCTAAACTAAAATGTCAAAACAAACATAGGATGATTGGGCCCACGGATTAATAATCCTAATCCCATGCTTTAATCCTTCCAATCAAACATGCCATAAAAGTACTCTTTCATAGTATTTTTTTTAGAAATATCAATTGTCATAATTATACTTTTTGTATTGTTAATGAATTTAAAAGAAAGACAAAATAAGAAATTTATATTATTTTAATCTTTAATTTTTAAAAATAGACTAATATTTTGAGACAAAAAAATATCTTTTATCAAAATAAATAAATTACTGAGAGAAAATAAAATTGTACACGTGGATTTTGATAGTTTATATACACAACCTTTACTCCCATCGGAGCCTATCCAATCTCATTCTCCATGTGATACAAACCAGGGGTGCTTATGGATTGGTTTGATTCGTGTCAACATTAAATCTCAATTAATTCAGTTTGACGATCCAGTCTTAAAAAAATATATTTTTTATTTTTTTATAAAAAGATGAGTAAAAAAATAGAGATGATGTGATGAATAAAATATAAAAAGATAAAAAGATGAATTATATAGATTATGCCAAACCAGACACGAGACTATGTGAATATTGATAGAGGTGGTGGGGTTGTCCCAGTTTTGGGTTGGCTTGGATTAGGTGGTTCTCAAATACTGTTTATGTGACCCAACTTACAATTTGTACCATCTAAATGTGTATATCCTCTACCCTTTTTATCTCCAAATAATAATCTCTTTTAAAAAATTAAAAATTTTTTAGCAGTACAATTATTACATTTTAAAGATATTAATTTTTTAAAATTACTTTTACATAGTATTTTTTTTAGAAATATCAATTGTCATAATTATACTTTTTGTATTATTAATGAATTTAAAAGAAAGACAAAATAAGAAATTCATATTATTTTAATCTTTAATTTTTGAAAATAGACTAATATTTTGAGACAAAAAAATATCTTTTATCAAAATAAATAAATTACTGAGAGAAAATAAAATTGTACACGTGGATTTTGATAGTTTATATACACAACCTTTACTCCCATCGGAGCCTATCCAATCTCATTCTCCATGTGATACAAACCAGGGGTGCTTATGGATTGGTTTGATTCGTGTCAACATTAAATCTCAATTAATTCAGTTTGACGATCCATAACAAAACAGCCATGTATTAGAATAAAATCAATCCAACACAACCTAATATAGCACGGGGTAATTAAAGTTAGAACTACGGTTTCATTACACAGAAAAAAAATAAATTAAAAAAGTTTTTAATATTTAAACATAACATAAATAAAGAATAAAAATATTATTTTATACAACTGTGAATTGTATAGTAAAGACGAACTGAAGTTTAAACGCAATTAATACAATTTAAATTTAATGAAAAAAATTTACTTAAAAAATTATTAAATGTAATTAAGTCTAATAAAATCAAACTAAGACCTTGTTTGGAATAAATTTCTTTTTGCATGGTTTTGACATTTTGACTATTTTAGCCTAATTAAAAAAATATATATTTGGAATAAATTTTTAACTTTTTTGTAGTTGATTTGATGATTGCGAGAGAAAAATAAAATAATTATGATTTAAATGTAATATTTTATCTTATTAAATAAAATATTTATTGGTTTATCAGTCCCAACTTTACATGCCAAACATACCCCTTAACCAACCAATTTGTATTTGAATTTTGACAACTCAAACCTTCTCTGAATTCTTTGAGTTAAACCCAAATTTGTTTGGGGTGTGCAAAAAAAAGTCACATTTTTATTTTATTTTCTCTTTAATAACTTTTTTGTCAATTTTTTATATTTTTTAACTAAAGGGTTGTTTGGAATGACCTAAATAAGTGTAATTTTTATTTTTTTATAAAAAAAATATATAAAAAAATAAAGAGATGATATGATAAAAAAAATAAAAAAATAAAAAGATAAATTATTTCTCATATGTCAAACTTGGCCTAACACAAACACATCAATGGCATGGATGAGTTGTAATCCTTTCGGTCTTACGTGTGCCACGTGAGCAACTTTATGAGTCCACACAGCACTGATTGAGGACAGGCCATAAATGTTAGAAATTCTAAACAAAGATAAGTAAATTTTTTATATAATATTAGTCTATAACACTTCATATCTATTTTCAAATTATTCATAAAAATATAACACAAAATATTAGATCCAACCAACCATTGTACGATATTGAATAAATGTTTTTTCGGTTATGGGGCAGGTGTTGTTAGGGTCCACATTGGCAATTAAAGTCCGACGCGTATTCAACGGCCTCATTGACTGAATGAAACAAAACCTCATCAGTTACGGCCTTGGGGGGGAAGTTGAGAAAATGGGCCCACAACCATGTTACTCTCTCTCTCTCTCTCTGAAGTGAAGCTTTCTCATCTCATTCCCCCCTGCTTCTTTTTCTTCATTTTATTTATGAAGGTGTGGCGTCCTAGTTATTACCACCATGTGCATGGATTGCTACTCCAGTAATTTGTCAACGCTATTCCTTTTTTATTTTTTTTAAGAACTGCTATTTATCTATATCTTTCTTCTTAGATCTCCCATCTCTTATATATTTTTTTTAAATTTTATCTTTCACTTCTATCCTAATCTTAATTTTTTAATTCTAATATCCTAAATCCTAAATCTAATTCTAATTCCATCCCCGCATTACCTCCGACAGTTAGGGGTGATCGCGGTTAGAATTTGAGCAGTTTACGGGTTGGTTTGGACTCACCCGCACCTATACGGTTTGAGAAAAGTCAACCCGCAACCATTCACAGTGCGTTTTGTAGTTTGTACGGATAGGATTTACGAATGTGCGGGCGATTTGCAGATTGGACTTTTTTCTTTAAAAATTTATTTTTAAACTTTTTTTTTCCCCTCCATTTTGTAAATATTTATTTTGAATATTTTCCTTTCCATTTTCTAAAATGTTCCAACATTAATAATTAACGAATTAAAAAAAACACCGATATCTAATATATAAGACAAAAACATACTGAAAAGTAGTCACTCCCAATTAGTTTCTAAGAATAATGCTAAGATTTAAAATCACAGAATCACAAACCCCAAATTGGAAAGTACATCATCAGATTTCCAACCACAGACAACTCAATATCACCAAAAAATCCAAAAAATGATAGCTTTACAACCCTTTCCGCATAGATCGGTCTAATATTACAATCATTCATTGAAAACCCAAAAATGGTAAAACAATAACCTCTAAATCAATTCTCAGCTTACAATTCAACAAGTAAATATTGACAATTTACTTAGTCCAATTAACAACTTCACAGAAATCAATAGATAACACACCAAAATATTCATTTCACGCATGGGCAAAAACACAAAAAAATTACCTTATTATTTCTTGACAAAAATTCTTGATAAAAATGGCACATTTCATTAACCAGAAAGAAAATATTCCCGAAAATCTTTCACATACAACTCTCTCTCTGTCTCTCTATGTATGTGTGTGTACATGTATTTAAGTGTAGACGTTAATCACATCACATTCAACCATAAACCACCCAGAAACAT